ATGCTGAGGCCCCCGCACCTGCTCTGCTAGGAGACATGTGGCCTGGCAAGACCCCCAGCTCTGAGCTTCCCTTCCCCCTTCTTCCCCTTGCTTCCCCCTTCCAGCTCCCTCCTCCCAGTTTTCCCCCTTCCCTCTCCAACCCTCTCTCCTGCTTTCTCTTGCCTCCTTTCCGCAGTCTCCCCAGAGGTTCATCCCCACCCCAGTTGTGTTAAATAAACAGAGTTTTTATTTTTGAAAATACATGTATTTTATTGACGTTAGGAAGGGGGGGCTAGGGAGGGGTAAGTGGAAGGATGTGAAAGAGGAATGAGGCATAAGCCCCCAGTGGGGCAGACCGCAGAGACTGTTAGTGCTTCTCGGGGCAGAAGCTCTCCCTCAGGGCCCCCTGGATACTGACAGCCCCCAGATGGACCTCCCGGATGGCAGCCTTCAGAAAATTCAGCCAGGCTTATGGCAACGTGTCCACAAGACGCACCAGAGTGCCCAGGGGCAGCTCTATCTCTATGTTGCAGAGTGGTAGGGTGTCCTGAGTGAGGGCAACCAGAGCACTCCAAGACACAAATACTTTGCTGTCCCTCATCGAGGTAGACAAGGAAGCAGGGAAACCTGAGAACTGTCTGTCTGGGGTGGGAGCAGGGTCCCTTTAAGCATGGACCTGAGATAGCGTCAGGCAGCAGCCCCACACATTAAGTCCTGACCTGGTGCCCTGCCAGCACTGGTTCTGGCCAGCCTTAACTCCGATTCAGAAACCACTCAGTGTGGACACGCTATTTTGAAATAGGAAAAATGATATTTTGAAATTCATTTTGTGTGTAGATGCATTAATTCAAATTAGCTTAATTCGAATTAACTATTTCAAATTAAGTTAACTCAAATTAACACTGTAGTGTAGACATACCCTCAAGGTACGTCTACACTAGCCCCCTAGATCGATCTAGGGAGGCTAATGAGGGTGACCAAAATTACAAATCAAGCCCAGGATTTAAATATCCCACACTTGATTTGCATGTTCCCAGCCAGTCGCCATTTTAGAAATTGACTAGTCCGAAATAACTGCCCACGTCGATTTAAAGCCCCTAAATCAAATTAGCTGGTAACCTCATTGCAGGAGGAATACCAGCTAATTTGAGTTCGGGCTTTAAATTGGAATCCTGTTTCACTGCCATGTGTAGATGCGGGCAGTTACTTCAGGCTAGTCAATTTCTAAAATGGCGACCAGCCTGGAACATGCAAATCAAGCACGGGATATTTAAATCCTGGGCTTGATTTGCAATTTCGGTCGCCCTCATTAGCCTTCCTAGATCGATGTAGAAAGCTAGTGTAGACGTACCCTCAGAGAAGTAGTACGTAAAGATTATGCAGGAAGAAA